AAGGAGAATGTTTGGTGATGAAGGTTCAAAAAAATCAGATAGGAATGGAATTTAGGAGATAAACGGACAGGGGTAGAGGAGTAAAGATATATCCAAACCAAGTAAGGGAAGGAGAGTAAGGCAGAGAGACAGGAAGCCAAGAGGGAAAAGGTGGGCACATGACAATAGACAGAAAACAGACATAGGGCCAAACAGGTAGTTTGAAGAGCAATGGAAGATGTTAGAAAGATGGCAGGTGGGCAGATAAATAGACAGTGAAGGTGGAGAGAAACCGAAGATAGGAAAAAGTGCAGAAGAGTAGATATGTTGGGTGAAGGGTGGAAGAGAAGGGTGGACACGTTGGGAGAAGGGTGGACATGTTGGGTGAAGGGTGGAAGAGAAAGGTGGACATGTTGAGTGAAGGATGGAAGAGAAAGGTGGACATGTTGGGTGAAGGGTGGAAGAGAAGGTTGGACATGTTGGGTGAAGGGTGGAAGAGAAGGTTGGACATGTTGGGTGAAGGGTGGAAGAGAAGGTTGGACATGTTGGGTGAAGGGTGGAAGAGAAGGTTGGACATGTTGGGTGAAGGGTGGAAGAGAAGGTTGGACATGTTGGGTGAAGGGTGGAGATGTTGAGTGAAGGGTGGAAGAGAAGGGTAGACATGTTGGGTGAAGGGTGGAAGAGAAGGGTAGACATGTTGGGTGAAGGGTGGAAGAGAAGGGTGGACATGTTGGGTGAAGGGTGGAAGAAAAGGGTGGACATGTTGGGTGAAGGGTGGAAGAGAAGGGTGGACATGTTTTGTGAAGGGTGGAAGAGAGGGTTGGACATGTTGGGTGAAGAGTGGATGAGAAAAGTGGACATGTTGGGTGAAGGGTGGATGTTGATGAAAGTGAGATAAGTAGTTGGGTAGGTAAGAGGCAAGGTAGAAAGACAAGTAGTTTGAATGGAGAAGCATAGATGTTTTGGGTGACGAGGCAGAGAAAGGTGGACATAGATGCAGGTGAGATCATAATCAGTTAAGTGGAAGGAAGGCATTTAGGAAGATAAGCAGTTTGAATGGAGAAGGGTAGACATGTAGAGTAAAGAGGGGCAGAGAAGGTTGGACATTGATGAAGGTGAACATAGTTGGATGAGGAGGAGACAGGTAGGAAGACAAGCAGTTTGTATGGAGTAGACATGTTGGGTGAAGAGGGGCAGAAAAGGGTGGACAATGATTAAGGTGAGATCATGATTAGTTCGGTGGGTGGGAGGCAAGTAGGAAGACAAGCAGTTTAAATAAAGAAGGGTAAATGGGTGCAGGAAGGTATATCGGTGGACAATTTGGGTGAAGATGGTGGACAACATGTATAAAGAACGTAGGGTAGAAGGACAGAGGTGGTTGGAGAGCAGAGGCGGCAATTTGGACACAGAGGGTTTAAGAAGAGTATACAGAGAGGAAGGAGGGCATATGGGTGGACGATTTGGGTGGACAACATGTATAAAGAACGTAGGGTAGAAGGACAAAGGGGTGGTTTGAGAGCACAGGAGGCAATTTGGACAAAGAGGATTTAAGATGGTTACATAGACAAGAAGGAGGGCATATGGGTGGACGATTTGGGAGTAGATGGTGGACAACATGTTTAAGGAACGTAGGGTAGAAGTAAAAATGGGTGGTTGGAGAGCAGAGCGGGCAGTTTGAACACAGAGGGGTTAAGAAGGGTATATAAAGTAGAAGGAACGAATATGGGTGTAGATGGTGGGCAGCATGTATAAAGAACGTAGGGTAGAAGGACAAAGGGGTGGTTGGACAGCAAAGGAGGCAATTTGGACAGAGAGGGTTTAAGAGGGGTATAATGAGAAAAGAAAGGCAGATAGAACAAATTAAAAGCATGGGTATCAAGTAATGATGGATATAATGGAATGGATATAGTGGAAAGGGAGGGAGGTGGTAAGGAAGGGAAGTGGGAGAGAAAGAGAAAAAAGTAATGAACACAGTTTGCAAGAGAATCACAAAAAAAAAAAAATTTTTTTCTTAAAGAGGTCCTTCCTTTTTTTTTTTTTCCCTAACTTGAGATAATATTACCGTTTTCCCTCGAGCTTTCTGAATTTTACTTTGGAAATAACTTTTTGCTTTTCTTCCCCCTACTTCTGCATTTCTCACCTAGGCCATAATGATGTAGCTGCACCGCCTGCAGACTCCTGGGGTATGTACATCATACATCCCAGAAGTCTGCGGGCAGGGGCGGACTGACAACTCATGGGGCCCCCGGGCAACAGGAGATCATGGGGCCCCTGTGTCCTTGCCCAAACTCAAAAAAGCCTATGAAAAAGGTACCAGGGGCATCTTATGGGGGCCCCCTACTGACCCCGGGCAGTGCCCGAGTTAACAAATGGTCAGTCCACCCCGGTCCGCGGGCAACTTCGAGGTCTGGTGACATTGAGGATAGTATGGCAATATGTACACAATAGGATTCCCTGGCTACAGCGCTGGGTGCGCATGCATGGGATCGGCAGAGTGCCATCATTGGGGGCCGACTTAACATGTAAGAAAAGTGCCCGTGGATCGATATGCCCTTACAGAAAATTACAGTGTGGAATAGAAGAGGCAGAAGGGATTATTTTGAAGAATGCAAGAAACTGTGAACGGCATGGAAGGGTAACAAGGATGTATTTTGTAATTGTTATGAAATAACCTATTTTTTAGTTCCTAAAATCTGGATTAAGTATCTCTAAGAAGATGCAGACCTTGGGTGTAGGAGGTTCTTATATATTTCCATATAGATGTTGGCCTCGTCTTGGTGGGCCTCCTCGTTTGCCTCTACCGGGCAAGCCACCCTACCTTAAGCTCCCGGCAAGGAAATGCCTGACATTGCCCTTGGTTGCACCTGCCAATTGGTGAATTTTTTGGCTCCTGTGATTCTCTAGAGCCTTTTATTGGTGTAAATATTTGGATTTCGTAGTTTCCTGAAGAAGTGAACATTGTGTCCCGAAACGCATTGAGAATATCATTAGTACTAGATTAGCTAACTGGAAGAAAATTTGTAGAAAATCGCTGTGAGAATGCCTCAATATCACACAGTCACAACAAATAATACCAAATATGTGTATTTTCTCATTTTTTTCCCTAGTCCTTCTCTTAAGACAGTTGCCTCCTGAAACAGGCATTTCCATTGATTGATTACCTTTACATCTTATTCTGGGGCCAAGGCAAACATTTTGGATTTCCTCACTTTCTGTCTTGGTGAAACTGGTCACCCGTACAAATAGAGGGGTGGATCTGCCCAGCAGGGACACAGACATCAATAAAAGTACAACAGAGGGTCTAAACCAGGGGCGGACTGACAACTCATGGGGCCCCCGGGCACTAGGGGAGGGGCCCCTGTGTCCTTGCCCAAACTCAAAAAAGCCTATGAAAAAGGTACCAGGTGCATTTCTCATGGGGCCCCCTACTGACCCCGGGCCCTCGGGCAGTGCCTGAGTTTCCAAATGGTCAGTCCGCTCCTGGTCTAAACCTTCCCCACTCTATTCAAAACTAAAAAAAAAACACTTTAGGTTGATCAAGAATTATTATTTGCATTTTCCATCTGGACCATTGGTTGTCAACCTACGAGGTACAGGAGGCCTCCACTGTGGCCCCTGGCATCACAAAAGGGCCACACATAATGTTCAATAATTGTAATGGTAGAGAGGACTGTCAGAGACTGCAGACATATGGGAGAAGATTGTTAGATATTTGGGGACAAGGGATGAGCTTGAGTTTGGCTCTGGGTTCAGATCCAATCCATGTTTGGCCAAACGTGAAAGTCAGGTGTCAGTGCAGGGCCAATGAACTGTGGGTTAGGGAACCCCGAGGTCAACTGTCCTGTCTGGGCCATTGATTCATTGTCAGGACATGTGGTCAAAGGGCCAGGATACTTTAGACATTGTTGACAATGTGATGGCCACATGGCCATCTTAGGTCAATGGGGCAGGGATGCTTTATATATTCTTGACATAAGATGGCCAAGTGGACATCTTAGGTCAATAAGGCAGGGATGCTGTAGACATTGTTGACCTAAGATGGGCCATCTTAGGTCAATGTCATTAACCTAAGATGGCCATGTGGCCATCTTAGGTCAATGATGTCTAAAGCATCCCTGCCCCTTTGAGTACCTGAAGCTGAGGGATGGGGAATGTCCTGGACATAGTTCATTGGCCCAGGAATGGCAGCTGTCTTCCATATTTGGCCTGACCCAAACATGAGCCCGACTGGAGAGACACGCAACAGGTTTGGTTGGAGACTGGTTTGACCTAATATGGTTTGGCCTTATTAGGTCAATGATGTCATGGGCATCTTCACCCCCTTGTGTAAGTGAATCTGCAGGGTGCGGAATGTTTTGGTGACAGCTCATTGGCGAAGGGGTGGCAGCTGCCCCTCTGGCCAGAACCAAAGCTAACCCCTACTGGAGACACGCTACAGGTTTGGTTGGAGACTGGTTTGGGCCTTAGTAGGTCAATGGTGTCATGGTTATCCCTGCCCCATTGTGTGCATAAAGCTTCAGGGTACGAAATGTTCCAATGGTGGTTCATTTGGCCCAGAGATGGCAGTTGCCCTCTGGGCTTGGCCTGAACCCAAGCTCTTCACTACTGGAGACATGCTACATGAGGCTATTAGAGATCATTGCCATCACCCTTTCATAAATCGATGCTGTCCCTGCTACTACAAACTGCTGGGGTCCAAGTGCCAAAGAGCCACATGTATCTCTTGGGCTGCAGGTTGGGCACCAGGGATCTAGACCAACATTAGTTCAGGTCTTGTCACAATAATTTCTAGCTGGCTTTATTTTTGCCCCTAACATAGGACATGTGCCCAAGATATTTTCCTTCTCCATGGACCATGTATAACAATGTTGTCTTTTAAGCTGCAGATCACTGTAGGAGCTGTAGGTAAACCTGAGCATGCAGGCTTGGCTTTGTTAGTTTCAAACAATGTAATGACACATTGAACGCACAGTGTAGGACGGTGTATGTCTACATAGCTTACCCTGCAGGTACTCACCAGCTCACATCTGGTTGGAGAACGAGGTTGGGACACCTTGCTGGCTATACCCGCCTTGGCTGTACCCCTGTTGGTTGTATTCAGGCTGCTGGCCATAGTAGTCAGGCTGGTAACCTCCTTGTTGTGCGTATGAGTCCTGCTGACCATAGCCTTGGCCCTGGCCCTGCACCTGCCCCTGCCCCTGCCCATAGGAATCAGGAGCTGGATGCTTCTCCTGGGCTGGTGGTGGGTACTTCATGAATGGAGCTGTCCATCCTGTCTCTTTAAACACAAACCAGATGTTTCCCAGCCAGATTAAGCAGTTCAGGAAGCCGAAGGCCTGTAAGGAGGAAGTCAAACTTGATGTTATCAAATACAGTGTAGCTGACATGAACTGGACTCAACTTCCAAAATCTATTCAGAACAAAATCTGGAGTTATTAGGCCAACTTGCACCAACTGTAAACCATCCATCTACTGCTACAGATCACAAAATCCTAAAAAAAAGGAACCTATGTAAAAATGGAATTTTTGTACTTCGTATAAAATCCATTTCTTGGGGTCCATAGAAGGACACTGGAATTCAGAAACTGTTGGGTTATTCTGCCACCTACAGGAGGATCAGAGCCTGGCAAGGGGGGAGGAGGCAGCTGCCCTAGGCACAGTGTCCTTACGTTCCTCAGGGGAGCAGCCTGTAGACTACATTCTACCGAGAGTATGCCCCTCAATTCTTCCATCCTGGACTTACCTGCACTGCTGCCTGGGTTCTGCCCCACCTGGCCAGGAGGAGCCTGGCAAAGGACTAGTGATGTCTCCAGTGGTGAGGTCCATTATATCCATGAGTGGCATACTTAGGGGGATGTGGTCTGCACCAGCACTCCAAAAATGTCGGCCAGCTGCCCAACATTTTTTTTGTTGTACCTTGCAACCTCCAAACAGGCAGAGGTGGTGCTGTTGTGACAGTATCATATATCCCAGCTGCAGAAGACTATCCAATCAGGGGGAGAGGGGTGCACAGTTTGGCATATTCACCCAGGACACTAGATGACCCTATCCTGACACTGCCCAACAAACCTCAGTTTAGGGGAAAGGTCCTACCAAGAACATGATCATGAACATAGGGTGGCAGGACCTGTCCTCACCAATGACCTTCATTAAAATGACGTCCTTCCTTTTTGTTTTTCAGTGTCCACCCCCCACCCCTGTAGGTGGCAGCAGAACCCAACAGTTGCTGAATCCCTGTGTCCCCCAATGACCTTCAATAAAAAGGCATCTATCCTCCTAGGCCACTAGCAAAAACTGAGGCATGCTGATAGCAGGACGGGAGAAATAAAGGTTAAATCCGACTGGTCAACATTTTTTTTTGTTGTTGTTTGCCAGTGTCCAACCCTCCATTAGGCAGCAGTATAACCCTACAGTCGTTTAATTCCTTTGTCCTTCAATGATCTTCAATAAAAAGGCATCTGTCCTCCTAGGACACTAGCAGTAAACTGAGGCATGCTGGTAGCAGGATGGGAGTAATAAAGGTTATATGTGGCTGGTCACTGTTTTTTCTTGTTTGCCAGTTAACAACCATCTTGTAGGCGGCAGTATAACCCAACAGTCCCTGAATACCTGTGTCGCTCAATGACCTTTAATAAAAAAAAGGCATCCATCTTTCTAGGACACTAGCAGTAAACTGAGGCATGCTGGTACCAAGATGGTAATAAGGGGTATACCCACTGGTCACTGTTTTTTTTGTTTGCCAGCGTTAACAACCCCTCTTGTAGGCGGCAGTATAACCCAACAGTCCCTGAATACCTGTGTCCTCAATGACCTTTACTAAAAAAAAGGCATCCATCTTTCTAGGACACTAGCAGTAAACTGAGGCATGCTGGTAGCAAGATGGTAATAAGGGGTTATACCCAACTGGTCACTGTTTTTTTCTTTGCCAGCGCCCAACCCTCTTTTAGGCGGCAGCATAACCCAATAGTCCCCGAATGCTTGTGTCCCTCAATGACCTTACAAAAAAAAGGCATCCATCTTTCTAGGACACTAGCAGAAAAATTGAGGCATGCTGGTAGCAGGATGGGATTAATAAAGGTTATATTTGGCTGGCTGTTTTTTTTTTTGTTTGCCAGTGTCCAACCCTGTTGTAGGTGGCAGCATTACCCAAGCAGTCCCTGCGATGTTTCCAGGTCCTTCAATAAAAAGGTGTCCATCTTCCTAGGACACTAGGAAAAATTGAGCATGCGGGTAGCAAAAAGAATAATAACGATTATATTTGGCTGGTCACTGTTTTTTTTTTGTTTGCCAGTGTCCAACCCTCTTGGAGGTGGCAGTAAACCCAACAGTCCCTCGATGCCTGTGTCCCTCAAAAAACCTTCAATATAAAGGTTTCTATCCCTAGGCCACTAGCAAAAACTGAGGCATGCTGGTACCAAAAATGGTAATAAGGGGTAAACCCAACTGGTCACTGTTTTTTTTTTTTTGTTTGCCAATGTCCAATCCTCTTGTAGGCAGCAGGCAGTCAATAACCCAACAGTTTCCCTCAATGCCTGTGTCCCTCAATAACTTCAAATCCCAAAAAAAGGTTTCTAGTTGCCCACCCCTTCTAGGCCACTACCAAAAACTGAAGCATGCTGGTACCAAAATGGTAATAAGGGGTAAACCCAACTGGTCACTTTTTTTTTTTTTTGCTTGCCAGTGTCCAACCCTCTTGTAGGCAGCAGTAAGCCCAATAGTCCATCAATAACCTTCAATAGAAAGGTTTCTATCCTTCTAGGCCAGGGGCTAGGGCAACTGTGGCCCTCCAGCTGCTGTAGAACTACAAGTCCCATGAGGCATTGCAAAACTGACAGTTACAAGCGTGTCCAACCCCAAAGGCAGGAGGCATGATGGGACTTGTAGTTCACCAACAAATGCCTGGAGTCCCCACACCTTCCATAAAAAGGTTTCTATCCTTCTAGGCCACTAGCAAAAACTGAGGTATGCTGGTACCAAAATGGTAATAAGGGGTATACCCAACTGGTCACTGTTTTTTTTTTTTGTTTTTTTTTTTTGCCAGTGTCCAACCCTCTTGTAGGTGGCAGTAAACCCAACAGTCCCTCAATGCCTGTGTCCCTCAATAACCTTCCATAAAAAGGTTTCTATCCTTCTAGGCCACTAGAAAAAACTGAGGTATGCTGGTACCAAGATGGTAACAAGGGGTATACCCAACTGGTCACTGTTTTTTTTTTTTTTGTTTGCCAGTGTCCAACCCTCTTGTAGGTGGCAGCATAACCCAACAGTCCCTGTCCAATGACCTTCAATAAAAAGGTGTCCATCTTTCTAGGACACTAGCAAACCTGATGCATGCTGTCAGCAGGATGGGAATAATAAAGGTTATACCCAGCTGGTTATTGTTTTTTTTGTTTTCCAGTGTCCAACCCTCCTTTAGCTGGCAGTATAACCCAACAGTCACTTAACTCCTGTATCCCTAAATGACCTTCAATAAAAAAAAGCGTCTATCCTTCCTAGGACACTAGCAAAAACAGAGGCATGCGGGTAGCAGAATGAGAGCAGCAGGTTTTTTACATACACTCCGCTGCTGCTACTGCAGCGAGGAATGTGTGTAACGATGAAAAGACGATGGTCAACTGTCAGGTGGAAATGATGGGGCCGCTGCACAGCCACCTGATCGGTTTCACGCATCACGGGGCACATTGGCCTCACCCATCGCTAGGTCTTTTCTCCTGGCATTTCACAATACACCATTCGATGGCCCCACAACCTCAAACAACAAAACATAAAAAAAAAAAAAAAAAAAAAAAAACACAGGGGGGGGCCGACATTATCAGACATTGAAACACATCACAAGTGTTAACACACTTAACTCCAAATCCCCCCCCCTCCAAAAAAAAGTACGTAGACACAAAGGGGCGGACTGACAACTCATGGGGCCCCCGGGCAATTTAGGGGATCATGGGGCCTCTGTGTGCTTGCCCAAACTCAAAAAAGCCACCAGGGGCATCTCATGGGGCCCCCTATGACCCAGGGCCCTCAGGCAGTGCCGAGTTTCCAAATTGTCAGTCCGCCCCTGGTAGAGACACCAAACATGTCAAGCCTTATATGTAACATATATTTATATAACAGATACACAAGGATATGAATGAACTGCCAGCTCACCACGGAGGTGTTCAGCCCCGACATGACAGGATCCCGCTCTTCCTGGCACTTGTTTTCGGGGTTCTCACAAGCCGGGATCTGCTCGATGATCAGCTCGGGATCTGTGGCCATCTTGATGTCAGACAAACCCTTGGCCCATGCACTGGAACTCACCAGCCACAAGAAGGTAAAGACAGCTGTCACAATGCAGTCCTGTAGGGGACGAAAGGGCAAGGCGATGAGAAGAATGCATTGGGGTTCAGCGGCGGTATGGGGCACACAGGAACCACAAAATCGTCTGGGAGATGCTGGTGTCATGGAGTGCATGGAGGTCACTAAATGACACAGGTTGCTTTGGGGCGGGGGGCAATGGAGTGACACAAGGTGCTCTGGGTTGTGCTGGACACACAAGGGTTCACATTGGGGTCACTAGATAACCCAGGATGATCTGGGGTAAGTTGGACTTAGGGGTCCACTGGAGTAATTTGGGGCACACAGGGGGTCATTGAGAGTCACTAGATAACACAGGCACATTGGAGTGCACTAGATTGGTGGTTCTCAACCACTGGGATGCGACCCGCTACCTTCTCTCGATCCTCCAACCATTTGCAGATCCCCTAACCTCCCACAGTGCCTCCCAGCTCCCAAAGTGCCACCCAACCTGCCATAGTAGTCCATCATGGCCCTCAATTTGCCACAATGCCCCAAGGCCCCCTGTGAGCTTCACAATTTGAAGCCACATGAGTCAGGAGACCTGACTGGCCGCAACCCCAGATAAGGGAGCTTTTGGCTGCTATGTTACAAAGGAGACCCACCACTGGATCCCAGAGGAGGTGGATGTGGCATATTACCCAAATAAATAATTAAAATGTGTGCTCCTCTCTGGTATAGCATCACTTTGTTACCAGGGTCTGACTTTCCTGAATTTCCTGGCTAACTCCTGTCAATTGCTTTAATGAGCCTCAGTAGCTTCAGTAAGGGGCAAATTGGGTTGGGAGTGGTGCTGGATCTGAAACCGTCTCAGTGATTGATACTGTACTCTTGTGACATAAGGTCAGGCTGCTCCCAGGGCCATAGGTGCCCACCAAACCCATTGGGGGACCTAGGTTTAAAAAGTGAAGTGCAGCAGATAAAGGAATGCCAAGGAATGGATCAAATAGACAATCAAGTATAGAAACATTGCCCTTACTTGGAGTCGATAACCAACGAGTTTCAGGGATAACTCAAACCTCCCTTCCTCAGGAACCAGATAGTCAATGGCAGCTAAAGACCGCATAGTGGAAATAGTGTGTAGACCACATAAAATGGTGGCCAGCTTTTCTAACATTCCTTGGCCCAGTGGTCTCCTGAACCTACCGCAGGAGATAGATAGTCAATGGTTGCTAAAGACCGCACACTGGAGATAGTGGGTAGCCCACATAAAATGTTAGCCAGTGTTTCTAACGTTCCTTGGTCAAGTGGTCTCCTGAACCTTCCTCAGGAGCCAGACAGTCAATGGCAGCTAAAGACTGCATAGTGGAGATAGTGGGTAGCCCACATAAAATGTTGACCAGCGTTTCTTAACATTCCTTGGTCCAGTGGTCTCCTGAAATAAGGTAGGAATGCTCCCCTAGACAATGAGAGCACTCCTATTGACTAGAAAGATGACAGTTGGAGCCTAGCCATGGTGTCAAGCCCACAAACAAAGTGAAACTGAGGAACACAGAACTGCCTTGGCGAAATAATACAGGTAACAGTCATCATGTCTATTGTTAGGCAAGACTTTTACTTTTTAAATGGAGAGCAGGTTTATTATAAATGAAGAACTGCTTTATTGTGTGACATATACACTTCCATATTCCAGTCCTGCTCCTTCACTAGGAACATGGGGTGCAATCCTAAAGTTGGGCCACCATCCAGAAAAGCCAGGTACTAAAGACTAGGTTGGAGCTCAGCCTAGGCCTCACGAACCTGATATCTCAAAAAGGAGAGTGGTGGCACTTTATGAGATTCAATACTGGCAATCTTTATTGATCCAAACAAGCAAACACAGTCCCCACCTGGGAACTTCCTAATGCATTTCACCCACAAGACTAGGCTAAATCATAGAGACTGCAACAAAGATAGATCCTGCGCAGTGACACATGTCAATAGAGGAGGTTTCCAGGCAAGGACTCTTTGCTTGCCCATTTAGGTCATCAAAGAAATGTCCACGTCTAATGACTATGTTGGACCTGGTTTGGCCAAACTAGGACTTCCCAGCATCAGAACCTAGTTCAAGTAATGTCCAAGCTCCCTCCCTCAAACTAGGACTCTTTAGCTTTGGAACCTAGCTCAAGAATTCATCCCCTGCCCAAACTACTTTCCAGCATCAAGCATAGCTCAAGAAATACCCAACCACCCCATTCAAACTAGGACTTCCCAGCATCAGAACCTAGTTCAAGTAATGTCCAAGCTCCCTCCCTCAAACTAGGACTCTTTAGCTTTGGAATCTAGCTCAAGAATTCATCCCCCTGCCCAAACTACGTTCCAGCATCAGAGCATAGCTCAAGAAATACCCAACCACCCCATTCAAACTAGGACTTCCCAGCATCGCAACCTAGTTAAAGAATGTATCCCTCCAAACTATCTTCCAACATGAGAACCTAGCTCAAGAAATGCCCAACCCCCTGGCCCCAAACTAGGGCTTCCTAGCAACAGAACATAGCTCAAGAACTGCCCCCCCCACCATCCCATTTTTTCTCATCCAGTCCTCATTTGCTGGATTTGAATGGAGTTGCCCTTGAGGTTACCAATGGCTGACTTACAATCATTGGCCCTTTGTTGTTCTCGCGGTACTTGTTCTGTAGGAATATGTAGGTGATGAGTGCCCCCAGCGAGTAGAGGAAAGCGAACACTGCGATTGTGACGAAAAACTCCGCTGAAGATGAATAATCCCCGACTAAGAAAATCTTGGTTATGCCACCTCCTCGGCATGTTGGAGCATCGAAATATTCTTGGTGCAGCCTGTGGGACAGAAGGGAAAAGAACATTTAAAGAGAACCTGTAACAGGACTTAAGTATTTACTTACATCATGCACATAGGGGACACCTGTTGATCTGTTATTTTTTTATAGTGATGAACAAAATTAAAAGTTTAATTGACACATATTTTTGGAGAAAATTGGCCGATTTCACCAAAATGTTGCCATTTTGGTAAAATACATTAGAGTCCATTGCACCCAACTTACCGGAATCACAAGGTCCTTTTCCTGGCAGGTTTCTCTTTAATGTTAAATTGGGCGTGGCTGTGAGTGGCTCCACCTACACAGCCATGTCAGCCAATCACAGAGATCTGTGAATGGAGAAACTACAAGACCCATCTGCCACTGTGGCTCTCAAATGGAGCACAATTATGAGGACATCACCACTATCGTCCACTGACTTTTCCTCCAGCTCAACAACTGAAAATCCGTATCTCATTATGGACCTGGGCTGGAGGAACAGTCTGCAGGAGCCTAGCATTGCACTCACAAACCATTGACCATTGTTGCAATGCTTTTCAGGCTTAAGATATTTGTATTGAGAGTCTACAAGACCCACCTGCCACTGTAGCTTTCAATTGAGCATAAGTATGAGGACATCACCGCTCTCGTCCATTGACTTTTCCTCCAGCTCAACAACTGAAGGCCTGCACCTCATTATGGACCTGGGGCTGGAGGAAGAGTCTGCTGGAGCTTGGCATCGCACCCACAAACTAGTGACCATGGTTGCAACGCTTTTCAGGCTTAAGATATGTGTATTGAGAGACTACAAGACCCACCTGCCACTGTAGCTTTCAACTGAGCATAACTATGAGGACATCACCGTTATCGTCCATTGACTTTTCCTCCAGCTCAACAACTGAAGGTCCGCACCTCATTATGGACCTGGAGGAAGAGTCTGCCGGAGCTTGGCATCGCACCCACAAACTAGTGACCATGGTTGCAACACTTTTCAGGTTTAAGATATGTGTATTGAGAGTCTACAAGACCCACCTGCCACTGTAGCTTTCAATTGAGCATAAGTATGAGGACATCACTGCTATCGTCCATTGACTTTTCCTCCAGCTCAACAACTGAAGGCCTGCACCTCATTATGGACCTGGGCTGGAGGAAGAGTCTGCTGGAGCTTGGCATTGCACCCACAAACTAGTTACCATGGTTGCAATGCTTTTCAGGTTTAAGATATGTGTATTGAGAGACTACAAGACCCACCTGCCACTGCACCCACAAACTAGTTACCATGGTTGCAATGCTTTTTTCAGGCTTAAGATATGTGTATTGAGAGACTACAAGACCCACCTGCCACTGGAGCTTCAATTGAGCAATATGAGCATAACTATGAGGACATCACCATTATCGTCCATTGATTTTTCCTCCAGCTCAACAACTGAAGGTCTGCACCTCATTATGGACCTGAGGCAAAGTCTGCTGGAGCTTGGCATTGCACCCACAAACTAGTGAACATGGTTGCCACGCTTTTCAGGCTTAAGATATGTGTATTGAGAGACTACAAGACCCACCTGCCACTGTAGTTTTCAACTGAGCACAAGTATGAGGACCTCACCGCTATCGTCCATTGACTTTTCCTCCAGCTCAACAACTGAAGGTCTGCACCTCTTTATGGAGTCTGCTGGAGCTTGGCATCACACCCACAAAGCACTGACTATGGTTGCAATGCTTTTCAGGCTTAAGATATTTGTATTGAGAGACTACAAGACCCACCTGCCACTGTAGCTTTCAATTGAGCATAAGTATGAGGACATCACCGTTATCGTCCATTGACTTTTCCTCCAGCTCAACAACTGAAGGTCTGCACCTCATTATGGACCTGGAGGAAGAGTCTGCTGGAGCTTGGCATCACACCCACAAACTAGTGACCATGGTTGCAACGCTTTTCAGGCTTAAGATACGTGTATTGAGAGACTACAAGACCCACCTGCCACTGTAGCTTTCAATTGAGCACAAGAATGAGGACCTCACTGTTATCGTCCATTGACTCATCCTCCAACTTCACAACTGAAAGCTCGTACCTTGGTATGGACCTGTGGCTGGAGGAACAGTCTGGCATTGCACAAACCACTGACCATGGTTGCAATGCTTTGCAAGCTCCCAAACTTAGTAAATGCTCAATTTTTTCAATATTAGTTAATTTTATTATTATTTTTTTTTTTTTTTTTTAGGAAGGAATATGCCTTTAAGGATGCAATGGGCTTTCAATGGCTCCTATCAGGCATGGAGGGAGTAGAGATGCAGAATATCACCTAAGGTGCCCTGCAAGCAGGAGGTGACTTTCCTAGGCGAGGATAAGAAGATTAGAAGGATTGAAGATGCTAAAACAATCATGTTACAGGGTGCTCTGCCATGGGCCCTTTGGGCCCAGCTCTGACCCAAGTGTCAGGTCATAGGGTTCTATGGAAAGAGGTAACTCTTAAAATAGCTACTGTACCAAAAAAAATATTAGAAACATTTATAAATTACATCAGAAATGTTAAATAATCCATTTGGGTCATTTATAAGCTGAACTCCAAGATCCCCAAATAGTGTCCATATAAGTCCAATGGTCATTTGTATCCTTCCTTGAATCTCGGTGAGGTTTGTGTATTTCTTCCAGATCTGTGCCATCATCCAGTGAGAGACTTCCTGTAATAAAGACCACTCACTGCTGCCCTCTCTCCTTGTGCAGGGTGAATGGTCTTTTCTCCGCCCCCTCCTGTAGCTTTCTGCAGGCAGCCTGTAGTGGGTGGAGCCTGATGAGCCCCTCCCACAGCTCTGCTCTCTTTCCTTGTGCAGGGTATCTGGCTTCGTTTTCGCCCCCCCCCCCCCGTAGTTTCTTGTAGTGGGTGGAACCTCCCCCCTCAGCTCTGCTCTCTCCTTGTGCACGGTATCTGGCCTGGTCTTTGCCCCCCTCCCGTAGTTTTTTTTGTAGTGGGTGGAGCCTCCACCCCCCCCCCCCCCCCGTCTGCTCTCTCTCCTTGTGCAGGGTATCTGGCCTGGTCTTTTGCCCCCCTCCCGTACTTTCTTGTAGTGGGTGGAGCCTCAATCCCCCCCCCCCCGTCTGCTCTCTCTCCTTGTGCAGGGTATCTGGCTTCGTCTTTGCCCCCGCTCCCGTAGTTTCTTGTAGTGGGTGGAGCTCCCCCCCCCCCCCGCCAGATCTGCTCTCTCTCCTTTTGCAGGGTATCTGGCCTAGTCTTTGCCCCCCTCCCGTAGTTTCTTGTAGTGGGTGGAGCCTCCCCCCCTGTCTGCTCTCTCTCCTTGTGCAGGGTATCTCTCGTCTTTGCCCCCCTCCCGTAGTTTTTTCTTGTAGTGGGTTGCCCCCTCTCCTTTTGCAGGGTATCTGCCTCGTCTTTGCCCCCCTCCTGTAGTTTCTTGTAGTGGGTGGAGCCTCCCCCCCTGTCTCTGCTCTCTCTCCTTGTGCAGGGTATCTGGCCTCGTCTTTGCCCCCCTTCTGTAGTTTTCTTGTAGTGGGGGGAGCTCCCCCCCCCCCCCAGATCTGCTCTCTCTTCTTATGAAGGGCATCTGGCCTCGTCTCCGCACCCCTCCTGTTTTTAATAGTGGGTGGAGCCTTCTGGGCCCCTCCCACAGCTCTGCTCTCTGAACTCACTATGTACAGCACAGTGATGACATCACTGCTACTTTGACAAGATAATATCTGGGTTTGAAAAGGCATTTTAATGCACACAAAATGTATTTTATGTCATTTGTAGCTATTTAGGAATATATTAAAATATTTTAACAGAAAAAAAAAAGGTCGGAGGTCATTTAAAAGCGAATATACAAACGTGTACCGGTATTAGCGGAAATGATTAATAAAGATTAGACGGGATTTATGTTTTTATCTTCTATCACTATGGGCCCATATATAATAATAATCGATTAAACACATACAAATCTCCATCAAATTGAAGCGGCATATTACAAACGGCACTTGGGATTTATTCCAATTCGAGGAACACTCCACCCGTCTGCAAGTGCTCTCACTATGAATTAAACGGTCTCTTAAAACAGTCATGCCTTGGCAATGATCTCCAGGCTGCCATTAATAGCAACCCCCCCCCCCCTCCTTTGTATAGTTTCTTGACCTGTTTCTCCATAACACCCAATTACAACACAGCGAGGAAGCAAAATGCAGTTTGTTACAATATGGAAACATTTCTCAAGGGATGACTTGCTTCTATTTTCTGAAACAACTTGGCTGGGGGAAGAGGAAAGAGCCATGTTAATGTTATGATGCAAATGGAATCAGCTGAAATAAAGTATTGGCAGATAAAGGATGAATGAGAGATAATAAAGCCTGTGCATAGTAGGAAGTATATATCTGATTTTAATCCTTCCCGTTGCGCCATTTTTTTTCCACCTACTTGGAAATTTTCTTCAAATGTCGTAGAGCAACTGCTCGGACCTATATGTAGCAAGTAATATGCTTTCCTTTAGCTTGGCCCATCCATGAGTTTGCAACCAAGCAGTGGTTGTGGATCACCACTGGAGGACATAGTTTCGAGACCTGCTCTGCATCATTGAGCTGAATGACCATCCCCTCCCGCAGGGGCAGGTCATTTAGCGCACAGCAAGATAGGCACAGTGCCAGGAGGCTGCAGGCGGTATTGTTGTAAACAGGACTTCCCTTCACCAACCCACACAACCACACGTGTATGGTTCTATTGAATGTAGAAGTATTGGGCGTGCTAAAAGCTATATTTAATACAGGTTCTCCAGGCCAGCCTTTCTCAGCCAGGGTTCCTTATCACTAGGGGTTGCGGAACAGTGGTAGATTAGCATCCTACTTATTAACACATGCTTAGTTCCGGGGCCAACGTCATTTGTCCCACTGGGCACTATTGTAAAAAGGCACCTCTCCCAATGACCACCAATGTAAGGGCACCTCTTCTACTGAGCACCAATGTAAGTGAATACCTCCATCACTGTCCACCAATGTAAGTTGGCACCTCCATCACTGTCCACCAATGTAAGTTGGCACCTCCATCA